TATGTATGTGTGTATGGTTGTACATACACATATGTATTATTTTTTTTTTTTTTGGTGTTTGGCTTAGTGTTATGTTAGACTCATTATTATACTCTTAATACCTTTTGTTCTTTAATATTTTGAATTGTTTTTAGCTTTGTTTTTTGTTTTTCATTTAAATGTTAAGTTTTGAAATTTTGTTGTATGCATTTGTCATTTTTATTTAATCTCTTTATTTTTAAAATGTGTATAAGTAGTATTTATAAAGTTTTAGCTTTTAGTTTTGGATCTGTTTTTAGTTGTTTTAATACTACAATTGATTGCTTCTGTTGTCCTCATTTGTAAGTCGCTTTGGATAAAAGCGTCTGCTAAATGACTAAATAAAAAATAAATAAATATTAGATTAAGATTTGCATTCTTTGGGCTAGAATAAGATAACAATTAATCTTAGATTAGATACAATTCCTCTACATCCTAGACGTAAGAAAGGTGGTATGTTGTTTTAGTTAAAACATCCGCTTGCTCAATCTGTAATTCTGTACGAATAGATTCTGTGAAACACATTTTCACAACAGATCGATTTCAAAGAATATGGAATTGTGTTTCTTGGTAAGGGAAAGTATACAGACTTGGTCTGTAGTGCTTTTATTTTATTTCAAAAATGTACTGAAATGTGCCTCACATTATCATATCATATATTTACTTTACGCAATTGCTATTCTTTCAAAGGACATGGTCATAGATCGATATATATATATATATATATATTTATTTGACCCTGGACCACAAAACCAGTCTTAAGTCGCTGGGGTATATTTGTAGCAATAGTCAAAAATACATTGTATGGGTCAAAATTATAGATTTTTCTTTTATGCCAAAAATCATTAGGATATTAAGTAAAGATCATGTTCCATTAATATATTTTGTAAATTTCCTACGGTAAATATATTAAAACTTAATTTTTGATTAGTAATATGCATTGCTAAGGACTTCATTTGGACAACTTTAAAAGGCGATTTTTCTCAATATTTAGATTTTTTTTGCACTCTCAGATTCCAGATTTTCAAATAGTTGTATCTCGACCAAATTATATGTATTAGTACACATACATACGTATGTGTATATACTGTATATATATATATATATATATATGTATATGTAATTTGAAGTTGTATATTTTTTCTGTATTAAATCCAACTATTTAAAAAATAGATGCATTTTAACCATGCATCTTTAACTAGCCATTACCCATTATGAATATTTATAATATAAAATGAGAAATAATGAATTTTTCAGCCACTTATTATTTCTATTGGATATGTGAAAACTTTTATAATGAAATATTCTAAGTATAACGTTTAAAAACAGTTAATGAAATGAAGTGACATTAGAGATTTTCAAGGAAGGTGGTTTCGTGAAATGTTTCAGGAAACTTTTTTTTTTTCTCCTCTCATAAGGAGATATAATCTGGTGGACAGCACATGCTCGTGTTTACAGCAATGACTATGCAGAATCCAAGCCACATTCTTACCACATGCCTTCTTGGGTACTTGGCCAAATCAATTGGAGAAAAAAAACCCAAAATGGTTTTATGTCAACTTAATTTGTAATTTTAATATGCATTTTAATATACATGTTTACTTTTCACATTCTAACAGTGTGTTGAAAAGAGTTACTTCATTCATAAGAAATCATATGATAACGACTTTTGCATAAAAATATAAAAGAAAAGAGAGAAAAGATAGTACAAAAGATACATTTATAATATAAATCTAGAAAATCTAGAAAATATAGTTTCATACACTCTTCCAAAAATTTTGGGGCAAGAATAATTTTCCAAGCATGAATAAAATGGATATATTTTACTCTTTAATTTATTTAACTTACAGTAATGTCCCAAATGTGGTACAGCTTGAGGTACTTGTTAGTTAAGCTACGGTATAGTCAGTATTAGAACTGAACCACTCAAAGGACATTTCCATAAAGTGCCAAGCTGCATAACAACTACATGCTGCATCTGCTACAGTGTAAATGTACGTAATATTTAATAATGTTTGTAACGTCCGGTTACAAACATTATTAACTCTGCACTTGTAAAATCATACAGTGTAATTGTACAGCGTAAGAACAACAGGCAGCAGCTTCATGGTCTGAGATAACAATAGAGATCTTAAATGTTCACATTTGCTTTGTAAAAATGAATGACGTGCCCCACAAAAGATTTTTATATTGTATGATTATGTAATCAGTCATAAGAAGCACATTGAAGATCTATTATGTGTCTGAATACTTAGTCGCATTCATCTCAAAAGACTCAATTGATGCCTTGAAAGATTTTAAGAGCTGTAAGTGCAGGCAAGAGGACTGAAATGGTAAAACAGAAGGAAGAAGATGCTTGTGCCCCATTAAAGGCACCTTGGGTTGGGTTGTTTGCCCCTGCACTTGTAGTTGAATTTGTGGAGTTTGTGGCTTTTGCAGGGAAGGAACCCACAACAGATGTCAGGAATGAGGCAAAGCTGGATGTTTTAGTGAAGACCTGGACATCTTGAGCGTGAGCAGAGCGGGATGCTAGAGTGCTGTTGCTGGAGCTTGTGTTAGAGCTGCTGCTGTTTGTAATGCTAGTCTGTATGCTGCTCTGTAATGTCAAAACAGCAGCATGGATCCATGACTGACCCACCTTACACATCAGCGGACCACCCTGATCACCCTGAGAGAGAAAGAGAAAACTCTTTACTGAATGCTACACATTTTTTACATTTACTTTTATTCAGCTAGGATGCATTAAAGATTTTTGTTACAAAAGTTTTTTTCCCCACATAATTGCTGTTATTTTGAACTTTCTATTTATTAAAGAATCCTTCAAAAAGTATTGTGATTTCAACAAAAATATTAATATTTTCAACATTGATAATAATAAGAAATGTTTTTTGAGCAGCAAATCTGCATATTAGATATTAGAATGATTTCTGAAGGATCATGTTACACTGAAGACTGAAAATTCAGCTTAATTCATTTAATTCATTCATTCATTAAGTCATCACAGGAATGAATTGAATTTTAAGTTATTGTAAAAATATTCCCCAATATGACAGTTTTGCTGTTTTTTTATCTTAAAATCCCCATAAATTTAAACAGTAGTATACGCTATTTGAAAATACTTTACAATAAAGTTCCAGTTGTTGAAATTAGTTAATTCAGTAGGTAGCATGAACAATTTTAGTTTCAGCATTTATTAATGTTTGTTGTTAATTCATGTTTGTTCATAATGCATCAACTAATGCTAATTAATACAAACTCAAATGTATTAGTAGCATATGTAGAAATTAACATTAACCTAATGCTCTCAAAGTATTACTCATAGTAGTTCATGTTACCTAATGCATAAACTAATAATAATAAATTAAACCTTACTGTAAACTGTAAATATACTTCCTTCCCAGAAGCCTCAGTTTACTGGTATTTAACCATTCCTTTTTTTATCTGCAAGTACTTTTATTCAAAAAATAATACAAAATGTTGTTCTGTTTTTAAACAGAATTAACTTACCTCCTGTAAGTTCAAGGAACTTGTACAAATACTGTTGTTTGAAGATGAGTTTCCACAACTCACAACAGAGGTTTGGAATTCCTGAAGAGTTTGATTCACTATAAAAGGAAGAAAACTCATTCAAATGAAGGAGAAATGTAACAAAAAGTTAGCAGTTAGCATAGTGTTTCAAAGCATTCACACCTCCTCCTGCTCCTGAGCCCCATCCTGCCGCCCAGCACTGAGTGTTAGCGCTGAAGGTATTGTCTCCCATGTCCACACAAATAGGCTGAATGAAATTTGTGAGGGTTGGTGCGACAGCCAACTGCAAGACTGCAATGTTGTCACCTGTACCATTGCTGAGTGTGATATTCGCCACTTTTATAGAGACCTCATTGGGGTTGGAGCCGTTCTGATTCAGACGGCCCAGGATCACGGTCCAGTGAGAGGCATTGGTGGATCTAAAAAAAAAAAGGAACTCTGTTGAATCAAATCATTTTGATTTCTCATCAAATGTTTTTGGTGTTTAAGTGCTATTACCTGGTAAAGCAGCTGGCAGAGCTCATGACAAACCGTTCAGCAATCAGCGTTCCTCCACAAACGTGACTGCCGTTAAACTGCAGGCTGGCCATCCATGGCCATACACCGGGAGATACGAGGGAGCTGTTTCCTCCAACACGGCTGTTCAGTTTGGCACTTCCACACACTACAGCTACAGTAACAAAGAGAAAGGGAATGAATGGCGGATTTTATCAGTGAAACATTTTCTTAATTTGTTTTCTTTAATTCTTTCATACAGTGGAAAAATGATTTTGAAACCATTTTCAGTCAGAAATTGCTAGTAAATTTCAAAAATATTTACAATTAAACAGCAAATAACATTCAATTAAACGTAAAATTTTGAAGTAGAAAAACTGAAACAGTATTTTCTTGTAAAATATATTCCAATAATCTTTGTCTTATTTACAGTTTTTTTGTTACAATTGATAGCTGATCACAGTTGATAGCTTAAAGAGCTAATAAATAAATAAATAGGCTAGCCTAGGCTACACAGTCACGCTTCATTAGCATAGAAAGCAGTGTAATGCATTGGGAGGTACAGTATGTTGCAGAACAGGCTTCTGACCATTGTTTGAATAAGCAAGGTTTTCAAGTTCTGTTTCTGGTTTTACTGTAACTCATTAATGATTAGTTGACAGATAATGAACTTGAGAACAAGAAGGAATCCACGACTAGTAAAAATGACTAGGAATATCGAATACTGTTTTCGGGTCCAAGCCTCCACTCCATTTAAAGTGAGAATACAATTTCAACAGCTGTTTATGAGTACTATTCATGTACAACTTTAACCTGTTAGCGTTCCACTGTACCATCCGTGGTGTTTTTGAGGGTTAACTTTGTGACATACAACAACTCAAAAAAAAAAAAAAAAAACTAAACATGTAACGTGTTTGGAAAGCTGAGATTCTTGTGATTCGAATGATACAATCAACATAGCAGGTACAAGACCGCCAACAAGGCTTCATGCTGTGATCCCATTGTGTTTCTTTTTACAAAAATATTTAGGCTGATTTTTTTTTTCTTTCAAAGTTCTATTACTCAATACCAGTAAGACTTACAGTGATTCTGAGGTTTGCTCTGTTTAGGAGTGTCACCTTTCTAAAGAGGCCAAAATACTCCAAATGGTTCAAGAACAGCATGCAATTCACTTTGGGTATGCCTTTTTAGGTTTTTTAGGCTAATTTTACAGGAATGCTAAGGGTTAAGATAAGCTTTTAAAAACTCATGGTGTATACTACAGTCTTTTCACATTTAAAGCATTGTGTTACTTGCCGTCTTTATGATTAATTGTGAAATTTACTAGCAATTTATGAGTGAAAATTGTTTCTACACCATATTTTTAGATGCTTTTCAGTAGTACTGCAGCACACAGTGAGTGTATATTAGCACTGTTTGGTTAGCTTTTGAGATCTTATAGAGTGTTTGGACCCAGAAACGGTGGTGTGTCACGTCAGAATTTAGTTGCTAAAATAAAACATTTAGACACCAAATTACTTTTTTAGTTGATAAATTAATATCTCCAAAAAAAAAAAAGTCTCACAATTCAGAGAGGAAGTCGATTAAGGGCTTTAAAAGATTTACTGAGTGAGTCTGATTCAAGTCACAAGTTTGATAGTTTTTCATGAAGAAAAAAAAAGTTCATAAGTTTCATTTATTTGCGTTCATTGTTGTGTTTAGGAAACACAACGATGAACGGGCTCTAACTGTTGTCAACGTCAAGTGCATTTTAAATTTTTTTTCTTGGTCACATTTTGTCTGGAGCGCTGCGCTTCTTTCACCTTGATTGGAAATGACACTAGGAATTTACTTCACCGATAATATAAATATGTGTTTAGCTAAGCGAATGCACCATTTACCTTTGAAAACAAGTATACATTTAAATGCACAAAAGTCCTAGGGCATGTAACTAAATGGACAATGTGTATGCATGGTTTATTGGGAATCTTATTTGACTTGAAAGAATCTTACGTGCAATGGTTGTAGTTGTAGTGGCGGCAGTGGTTGTCGTAATGGCAGGCACACTACTACAGATAATTGCCAGGTCACCGTCGGTACCACTGGAGTTGAACGTAACAAAGCCTGGCTGGTTGGTGGTCATCTGCTCATTGATCCAGTTCTGGTACTTAGACACTCGGGCATACACACCGGGAAGGTTAGCTAAAGCACAACCATTGCCGAAGCTCACAACTCCAGACTGGACCCAGACTGAGCCCTGTTTGCTGACCAAAGGACCGCCAGAATCACCCTGTAGGATGAAGAACAGGTTAGTGACATGCCATGTAACCTATTCTACACATTCCAGTTGTAGTTCACAGGTGTAATTTGTAATATAAAGGAATAATGGGAAGATAACATTAAATTATTTAATTTATTAACATATTGCCTTTATATCACACTGCTTCTCACACAATATGGATGGGTATTTTATGAAAACATAAAGATATATAGCTGCCTTTATATTTTGAGAAGGGGATCCTTCATATTTGGGATCCCTTGTCAGTAAAAAGTTAGAAAACCCCTGATCTATACAACAGTCTCAACCGTTCATTACGGTACAAATTTCAGGAACATTTTCTAAACTAGGACAAATGCGATTAATGCATAAAACAGATCCTTTAATATAATAATTTTACTAATGCATACAATATAATATACTGAGACATTGACTGTGCAGGCAAGATCTCAAATATTTGAGTTTTGCAATGAACCGGACAGTGTTTTGAAAGTGACTCACTAGGTTGAATTCAAAGTTTAAGAGAAACCCATTCTTTATTATTGATATTTTCACACTGAGGAATATTTGCAACTCATTAAAACTGGGAAATAACCAAAATGGATGTATAGGAGTTGTTACCTGACAGGAGTCTTTCCCTCCATCTAGTGGTCCGGCACATAGCATGTTGTCTGTGATTGTTGAGACTCCATAAAGACACTTACACTGCTTGTTTCCAACAACAGGCACGTCCACTTCCTGTAGAATTTGCGGTGAGGGCAGGGAAGCTGTGAAAGACATTAAATGATCAAATGTGCATCAGTACTGCAATAATACAGTATGTTGTGTATGATCAAAGTTAAGATTAGTAAAATTAAAACTTTACCTCCTGTCCCAATGTTTCCCCATCCGGTGACCCAACTCACAGTGCTTTTAAAGAATGTACTGTTTGCTGAAGCCAGACAGACTGGTCTGATATGGTCAGTAAATGTCACTGGTGAAGACAGACGCAGAAGAGTGATGTCGTTGTCTTCAGTGGTGCTATTGTAGTCTGGATGTTTTATGATTTGAGAGACATTCCTGGACACTTCATTTGCATTTGCTCCTTCCTGTGTCTGTCGGCCCAGGTACACAATTAGGCCACTGAGTGAAGTACTAGAATATGGTGGGAGAACAAGTGTTAAGCATTCACCACATCCATTGAATAAGTTTTTTTGTTATAATTGCAAGGGTTGCTCTATGATAGTTACCTTGCAAAGCAGTGAGCTGCAGTCAGAACCCATTCATTGTTGATGAGTGATCCACCACAAGAATGTCTACCGGCCCTGTGAAGGCTGGCCTGCCATGGCCAAGCACCAGCTGATGCATTCTGTCCTCCAACTATCTTTGTGTTGAGAGGTGCTCTGCCACACTCTGACAGGGACAAATGCAAATTAAACACATTTTTGACAAACAATTGGGCATAGCAACATTTTTGATAGGATTTGGCTATTTAAATTATGTGGTGAAAAACTAGTTACCATTCAGTTGTGCGTCACACCCTAAAAAAAACAAAAACAAGTTCATTTAATTATAACTTCAAGGGGAAAACAAACAAACAAAAAACCCTGTATATTATGCGATGTAAAACTTTTTTTCTATAAAAGAAAGCAATAGTTGTGTTAGTCAAAATGAAATTAGCTATACAATACAGGCTAAAAGTTTGGAATGATTTTTTAAAGGTTTTTTAAAGAAGTCTCAGCAAGGCTGCATTTATTAGATCAAAGATTCAGTAAAAACAGTAATATTATGAAATCTTATTCAAATTTAAAATAATTGTTTTCTACTTTAATATGATTTAAAATGTAATGTATTCCTGTGAAGGCAAAGCTGAATTTTCAGCATCATTACTCCAGTCTTCAGTGTCACACGAGCCTCCAGAAATCATCCTAACATGCTGATTTGCTGCTCAATGAACATTTCTTCTTATTATTATTATTAATGTTCAAAACAATGTGCTGCATAATATTTTTGTGGATACACTACCATTCAAAAGTTTGGTGTAAGTAAGATGTAAAATAAGTAAATAAATAAACAAATAAATAATAAGGGACAGCAAAGACATTTATAACATTATAAAATATTTATATTTCAAATAAATGCTGTTCCTTTATATTCATAATGGTTCTTATTATTATCACTGTTGAAAACAGTTTTTGCTGCTTGATATTTTTGTGGAAAAAAACTGTTTTCAACAGTGATAGTAATAAGAATCATTATTAATAATTGACTATCAATAAAATAACGGAGCAGCAAATCAGCATATTAGAATGATTTCTGAAGGATCATGTGACACTGAAGACTGGAGTAATGATGCTGAAAATTTTGTTTAAAATGTAGTACATTTTAAAATACATTGAAATACAAAACAGTTCTTTTAAATTGTAATAATGTTTCATAATATTGCTGTTTTACTGTTATTTCAATTACTCCAAACGTTTGACTGGTACAGTATATAGTATTACAGTTTATAAAAATTCTTTATCCTTAAATAATAATTATTATTATCCAACAAAAGAGCTTACCTCTCATTAGAAGAGCGACGGAAAATGCTACACTGAGTATGTTGATCATCTTCATCATTGTCATCGCAGCACAGCTCTGATATCTGCTCTTAAATATCCCTGACTGTTAACCTTGTTTCCTACACACCCACACACTCTCTCATCGCATTTAAACAAGGTACGCCTCCGTCAATCTCAGTCTGTAAACTCTTTCCTTGTTCATGCGTGTCACTCATTGAGCAACCTGTATGTCTTCAAGTGAGATAAGGGACATGCTGGTGGCTCTAAATCATGCATAATTCTCACCCCTGCAAGCTCTGAAATCTGAAACTTGTTCAATATGTTAGAAAAATGTTTGTTTATTGGTAATAGTTTTTTTAGTACTTGACTAAGGGTGCTCGAGGTGCTTTTAGTGTTTCTGTCAGATTTTGAAACATGTAACTATAAGGCGGAATTTTTGGTTGAATTTGTGCAACGTCATTCATATGGAAACAAACACTTTTTAGGATGAAAAAAGCACGAAGGTCCATCCCTAGCCACTTTCCTAAATCTAACCATACGAATATCACCAATTAATCACCAATTCGTCCAAATGTAAAATAGTTACTAATTGCCATGAGAATGTGTTGCATTTCCCTGAAAACCTGTAATTGTGTTCTTTTTATATTATAGGCTATCTAACTGTATACTGTGAAACTGCAGAGATGAGTTAAAAGTTCAGTGACCTACAAATGTCAGGCATAAAAGATCATTTGACTGTTACAGTAAAAAGTTGTCATCCCTCATTCTTCCGAGAAGGAAAATTCTTTTGACTGTATGATCTAATTACAATAGAATTGTTTCCAACAACAGGGTGAGTCATGTACAGCAGAAATCACCTGCTCATAGCCGGAGGAAACAAGTTGCATGCCTCTGGTAAAACGAAATGGTCACAAGCTAACATTGCTGTAATAAAGTAAACATAAACTAAAATATTTTAGGCCCTTATATACCTTTTTTTCTCCATTTTTCATCATTTGTTTCACATTTTTATTTCAAACAAAATGAAAAACACAGTAAAGGGCTGTTTGCCTAATGATTCCAGAAAAAAAATTAGGCTACAATAGGGTGACAGTATAGTGTCAAAGTTCCCACCTAAATCTAAAAAAAGTATATTTTCTTGTCTCTACTAATTATAATGACATATTTTCAATTGTCAATCATGATTAAGTCATGATTAAGTCATTTAGTTCAGATGATTAATGCTCACTATGCTGTTGCATAAGGAGAGGTTAGATTATGGATGGTAGATTACTGTGAGAGCACAACTTACTGCTGTATAATAATCAAGTTCAACATTACAATGCTATTATGCTCACTGGCAGGTTTAATCCAGATGCATAAAAACCCAGCTAGAGGTGTAAACCCAGTATGAGATGTTTTTTAATTTACAATACTTTGCTTATTTAATACTTAATTAGGCAAATGATGCCAATGAATCAGTGCAAGAAGGACGTTTAAATCACAAGTACACCACGATCAAATAACAGATTCTGTGAGTATCAAGTCAAACTAGATCTTTCTAATCTCAAATTACATGATTTATGTTTGTTTTTAAATCATTTTAATTGCTTGTTTGCAATGCAATTATGGAATGTAATGCTTTTCAGTGCTATCAGGAAGACGTTCAAAATGTTTACTGTTGGAGGACTGAGAAACACCTGTGTATCTTAATTCCAGTCATGAAATAAAAAACAACAGGTAACAGGTTTGTGTTCTTTTCCCCACAAAACTAAATAACCAAATAACAACTATTTTTTGTACAGTATACAGTATAACTCTCTCTATGAATCTGGGGCCAGTTGCACAACTGCTATGTTAAGACTGTGTCTTAAGAACTTGTTGTTGTTAGACAAGGGATAATCAGTCCTTTTGGACCCAAATTAGACCAATCTACCTTTTTATGTAACTGACTTACAAAAATGTAGCTTTAAGACCAGGGTCAGGAAAGAACCTCAAGCCAAGACTCAAACTCAGGTCATCCAAAGCGAACTTCTGTACCGATATTTAAATCATGCTAAGAGCACTGGTCCTATCTGTATCATCTAGTCCTAAACCAGGAAGCTTTAGTCATTAAAAATAGTTTTAGAAACCTCCTTCTGTGTACAGTCCAGTCACAGTGATATTCAGTTTAGAAGGTTTGTCTTTTTGTGTCTATCGCAATTTTCAATGTACGTGTACTGAAATGTAAAAAAGGTTTACTTGTTTTTTTTTTATTATTGCTTTCGCAAATAATCATCAAATAAGGGATATCTTACTGGACTCATTAAGATGAACTTATAGGGACGTTTTACAAGATAAAAACTATTTCAGTTTTTCTCCTTTAAAAAAAAAAATCAAATTTTTATTACATTTGTTACTTGCTGTTTCCTTGTAATTATTTGTGAAATCCACTAGCAATTTCTGGAAAAAAATTGTAGCAGTCACTCAAACCACACAAAATTTCACATTTTCATTAAATGACGTTTTGAACTGCTACGGATAGCCTTTCCTAGCTATGGATATTGTAGTGTCAAACACAATTAAGCATGATGCAGTACTGAAGCTAATTGCAGTTGATTTGAAAAGTATAAATTAAACAGATACTAAAAAAGGAACTAATACAGACATGATATGAACCACTGTCAAAGACAAAATGATCAGTTTCAACATATACAAACACAAGGGCTAAACAGCACACTGAAACTAATGGCAAAACAAGACACACTTGCCAACCAGTGCAGGATGAGTGAAAAGAGACATGACAAGAACAAGACACACAAAAACTTCAAAAATAAAAACCATACTATTTTCTTCTAACGAATAAATGAACTAAGCAGAAGAATATTTTTGGTCTCTCATTTGGAACAGCTTCTGCTTTCACTGCTCTCGAACAAAATAAAGTAGTCCTGTTATTATGACAACTACATTCTTTCTATAGCATCCGTTTCCTTGTATTTGGGCTTTCAAGTCATTTTATTACAAAGATGATGCTGCTTGTGTACTCAGAAAAAAAAATTATAAAAAGAACTTGCTCTGTGTAAGTTCAAGGTTAGTACAAATAATGTTGTTGTGCTATAAAATCTTTAAAAAAACAACAACACCTGTCTAACAGGTTATTTTTCTCAGCAGCAAAATCTGACTGACAGATGATTTAAGCAAACACTTCCATTTGCTTCAAAATTGCAATAATAAATTGATCCTTTTTAAGATTTTTATTTCCTTAAAGTTTCCTTGAAAGAAGGGCATGCTTTAAGGACTGTAATGGTGGTACAAAAAGTGTCCGGTTTCAAGCTAGGTGCATACTGTACAATTTTGGGCACTGTATGATTTAGTCATTTGAGACAACTTTTATGATTCCTAATGGATTCCTCTGATCCTAGGCCGAAACCTGTAGTCATGTTCACAGACAGCCAATTAGTTAACCTGATGATGCAATTAGTGTGACAACAACAAAATACCTCATGCTCCACACACCTTCTTTGTTTGATCCATTTTTCTTTTCAAGATTAATGCTAGAGACTTTTTGTTTGCTAGCCACCATTTTTATCCCGCATGTAAATGTGGCTCATTACTGAAAATGTCATGAATTGACGATATAAAACTTGAGTCTTCTTGTTTCTGTCCGTTTTTATCGAGTCTTGCCTGTACAGTCTGACATTAATGATAGCTGAGATCCCACATTGTGATATGGCTTATAGCTGGGATCATGTTTGCACAGTCTGACAAGCAACAATCGTAAAGGACTATTATACAGCGTGCACCTGCGTGGCTTTAGACAGCAGCAATATGATCCTAACAAATATACGAATTAACTTTAACATGAAAGCAAAAAAAGAATAATAGGCAGCTTAAAGTTAAGTAAAGGTCATCTTAACATGCAGTTAAATCAAGAACAAAAGAAAACGATTAATTTATTGATACGGAAAAAAGAAGTTGGTTCTCATTCTTTATTAAATGGTCTAAATATAGTAACATTTTCTCAACAAAAGGGCGATATATAGACAGCAGGCATCAAATGGCTCACAGCTGAGTAAAATTAGTAATAAATTCAGTAGTAAATGTTGAAGATGTGGCTTTATGCAACTTAAAAAATTGCTTTTGCTCATAGTAGTATTTTATGATTAAGCAAACAACCAAAAATATCAACAAGCACCGTTTTCACGTTTTCCAGGTTTGTTCATCAGTTATCTGCTGGGTTAAGTCATGCACACAACACAGGAAATGCCATTTACTAAACTGTTCACTATGAATAAAAGAGATCATCTGTGAAAATCCAATGCAAAGAAACAATGACAACCCTAGAGAAAGACTGAGAGGAGGAAGATGAAGAAGAAGAAGCAGAAGAGAAAGAAGATGAAGTACAGAAGGAATTAAAGAGAGATTGTCTCAAATGAGATGGACAGATTCAGTTCACTCAAACTGACTGTTTTATGAATCATGATAGGTCTATTACTGTGACCCCATCCCCTTTTATGTCTTATATGTGTGGTTTAATGAAATAACAATAACATCTTAACCTTAAAAGAACTATTTTTTCTTAGTGGGAAGAACACTTCAATAAAAAAAACATTCTCTAAAAAACATTTGGTCACACTTTATTTTGAGGTCCAATTCTCGCTATTAACAAACCATTTCTATGACTTTTGCCTCAGTAAACTCCTAATTTGATGCTTATTAATAGTTAGTAAGGTAGTTGCTAAGTTTAGGTAGGATTAGGGATGTAGGATATGGTCATGCAGAATATGTGCTTTTTAAGTACTAATAAACAGCCAATATGTTAATAGGCATGATAATAAGAAACTAGTTAATAGAGAGAATTGGTCCCTATACTAAAGTGCTACCAAAAACTTTTTCTATTATAAAGAAGCTTTTGTGGCTCTGTGGTGGTGGATCTTCATGGAACCATCAATGGGAATAAAGAACCTGTATTTTTCTTTTTCTTTTTCCTTTTCTTTCTTTCTTTTCTTTTTTTTAAAGGGATTGTACGCTTTTTTAAATGATATAATAATATGTTTATGGATATATGAATATAGAGTTTAACTGGTAACTCTAGCTGAAAATGTT